GGGGGGGGGGGGGGGTCCAAAAAGCGTTTTATATGACGGATCTGAAAACCATTTAAAAGTGGATTTTTACTTTATTTTATTTTTACTTTAAACCCTGCATTCTTCTAGTAAAGCTATATGTAAACTTACGCTTTCTTTGATTTCTTCTTCTTCTTTTTCTTTTTATCAGTTTTAGATTCAAGGTTCAAATAGGAGTCGACACTTGCTAGTCCTGATTAAATAAAATAAATCAATAAATCAATAAATCAATCAATCAATCAATCGATGCAAACCATTGATCATTCAAACAAATAGTCAATCAAACAATCAAATCAATCAATCAAACTATTTTTCAATTAATTATTAAGCAAACAGTTAGTCAATCAAACAATCAAATCAATCAATCAAACTATTTTTCAATTAATTATTAAGCAAACAATTAGTCAATCAAACAATCAATTAATCAATCAATCAATTTTTCATTTAATTAATCAAGCAAACAATCAGTAGATCAATCAATTAATCAGTCTTTCATTTAATTAATCAATCAATTAATCAGTCTATCATTTAATTAATCAAGAAATCAATCAATCAATCAGTCTATCATTTAATTAATCAAGAAATCAATCAATCAATCTATCATTTAATTAATTTATCCATCAATCAGTTTATCATTTAATTAATCAAGAAACCAATCAGTCCATCAATCTATCATTTAATAAATCCAGCTATCAATAAACAAAAAAAAACCAATCAATCAAAATCTCAAAATTTATGTCCCCAAAGAAAAGTAGGCCAATTTGAAACAACTTTTTCTTAAAATCAGCAATGCTACTTTCTTTTATATTTCAGAAAAACATGCATAAATTGTAAATAATCCTTAATGTAATATGCTGATATATCCCCCTGTATTTACCTGGTATATGAAGGGGAACATCTAGATCTATCGCTTGCACTGGGATCTCCTCTCTACCATCACATTCAACCTGAATTTACAAATATTCAAAATATTCAAAATACATATATATTAAAAATATATAACGTACATCAAATATTTGAATATATACAAAATATTCAAAATATTCAAAATATCCCAAATACAGACATGTTAAAAATATAAAAGGTACATACAATATTTAAATATATACAAAATATACAAAATATTCAAAATATCCAAAATAAATATACATGTTAAAAATATACAACGTACATATAATTTTAAAAATATATAAAATATAAAAATATTCAGAATATTCAGCATACTATTTGAATGGGGTTGCATAGTCTATTTCTATCAAAAGATTAGATTTTTTAAAAATCTTTAAATCTATTTAACTAAATATTTTACCTCATGCATAGGAGACCTGGTTGGCGCCTTGAGATAATTAGGATTACTAGATTGAACAGCTAGCCTGGCTACCCTACTCGCCTCTAGTTCCTGGATCAATTTATCTATCAATCAATCAATCTTGCATTATCTTAAAGCCGTTTTTGGAGACCATGAGTGGTTTACCCTTTAGTTTTCAAAAACGGGAAAACGGAAGAAATACTATATGAAAATGAAACTTCTTGGCTTAATCTTCAATCATTTAATGGGCATTTATCAGGTGACTTTAATAATCAAAAGTGATTCTTTATCAAGACCTAGCTGCGCGCTAAAACACCCAGTAAAATTATGTCATGTCACACAAATGTACTAGCGCGAGGCTGTCCATTGTCCAACCGATAAATTTCAACAATATTAGGCAAAATATACGTTTAAGACAATGAATAGAGAAAATATACATTAGTAAAAATATACATCAGTAAAAATGTACATATCAAAAATATGCATTTGGGGAAATATACATTTGGGAAAAATATACATTTGTGAAAAATATGCATTTATGAAATATATATTTGTGAAAATATATATTTGTGAAAATATATATTTGTGAAAATATATATTTGTGAAAATATATATTTGTGAAAATATATATTTGTGAAAATGTACAATGTACATTTAGGAAAATAAACATTCAGGAAAAGTATACATTTGGGAAAGTATGCATATGGGAAAACATACAAATGGGAAAATGTACATTTGGGAAAATGTAAATTTGGGAAAATGTACATTTGGGAAAATATAAATTTGGGAAAATGTACGTGTTGGAAATATATCTGAGACCCCTCTTACCTGTGATGTAGGTTCCGGTTTATACTGTTTAGATTTGTCAGCCTGCTCATCTTTCACAAATACTTGGCCCAGACCTCCACTAGAAATCAATCAATCAATTAGAATCAAAATAACCAGATAATCAATTAGAATCAAAATAATCAATTAATCAATTTATATTAAAAAACATGAAAAAAATAAGTGATCAATTTAACATAAAAATCAAATATACAAATAATTATTTTATCAATTTAACATCAAAATATCAGTTTACAATACAAATAATTATTTTATCAATTTAACATCAAAATATAAGTTCACAATACAAATAATTATTTTATCAATTTAACATCAAAATATCAGTTCACAATACAAATAATTATCTTATCAATTTAATTATCAAAATATCAGTTTACAAAACAAATAATTATTTTATTAATTTACCATCGAAATGATAATTTAAACAATTTGCCATTAAAATTATTAAATGATTGGTTGATCATCAAAATATTCAGTCAATCAGCAAACAAATCAGTATATGGATCAAATCCATAAATATATTCTCTTCGAAAAACTGTTTTTCATGTTTTTCAATTGCAAAAAAAGTCTCGGAATGAAAAGATCTTTATAAATTATAAGCATACAAAAATAAATTGATCCATCTACAAAACCGAAAAGAATATCAAGTAAAAACTTCAGCGCAACGAGTATAATAACAAAAATTCGAAAAATCAATTTTTTAGTTTCCAGTAGGGTTTCCAACTTTTTCCGGGTAAATTAGGTACCGATAAAGGCAGTGACCGGCTATTTAAGGTAGTTGAATTGAGTTTGCAGTGCTGTGGAATACTTCTTTCGGATTCATTTGAGACACATTAAACTTTTTGAAGATCTGTAAATCCTGAGTTTGAGCGCAAATTCGACGTTCAAAACTCCTACTTTGGGGGTGGATACGTTTTCAGAATTAGTTTTTTAATTATTAAATAACGACGACATAAAATGGAGACTTTCTGGAGACTTTCTCAACCGAATTAAGAATAAACCTTCTAGATGCTACACAGAGTTAGGTGTGACATACAGAAAAAAGTTTTTGGGATGACTACTCCAAATCAATTCCATTTAAAAAGGTTGGTTGGATTATTTAAAAATCAGCTAAGAAAAGTTGGTTGGTTTATTTAAAAATCGGCTAAGAGAGGTTCCAACGTTAATTCCCAAATATTTGAAATAATTTGTCAGAAATGGATGTGTGAAGCCTTTACAGAGCCAAATTGAACCTTAAGAAATTGGAAACCCTAGTTTCCGGCAGGACTTACTTCATCTCTTCATTATTTTCATCTTCACTCTCTGACTCTTCAGGAGGAGGGTTGATCCAAGCATCTAAATCCAAACCTGGAAAGAAAAAGAAGTTTTTTATTCCATGATTCTTGTGAAAAACTGATTATTCTCATTTCGAACTATGGTTTCTGCGAGACTAAACAGGAATTTTGAAGTTAACAGGTTGCAAAGATAAAGAGTTAAGAAAATTAGGGTTTGTGATGCGTTATCAGTTCCTTTATTTTTTATTTAGTTTCTCCACAAATCATTTTTTTTTTTTTTTTTTTTTTTAATTATCTCGATAATATTTGTAAAATGAATGAGTTCCAAATGAAAGAAAAAGTTAATGACAAATTTAGCCTATTTATATTGGCATCAGATTAGGCCTACCTTCGGGAACAGGCACTTTCTTCTGTGCTTTAGGTCCAACAGGGTTGAGTTCCCCAGCATACAGAACCTGGGTTAGAATTCTATAAATAGGATGAACCTTCTTCTGCTTTTGTTGTAATAGCTACAGTAGCGTTATACAGACATGAAAATTGGTTGTTAAGTTGCGTTAGCCTCCTACTGAACGGAATAAGGTTCGCTTGTTATAACTGTATTATGGACCCGCATACTTCATGGAACCGAACACTGGCCTATTTAAGTAGGGGGCAGGTTTGCATGTTATGTCATTTAACGTTTAAGGACCTCCGACAACGGCCTATAAGTTAAAACCGTCAGTTGGATTGATAGGAGCGTTGAACAAGGAAGATGTTCATTGCTAGATTGCAATTTTAATACCAATATTGGGACCAGGATTGAACTCCCGTCCCCAATTCCATAACTAGTGGTGCTACTCATTAAGCCTCGGAGCTCCTCCATCTACTTCTTCCAGGTTCTCTCGACTAAACTAAACACGTAGTTCAGGAATCCGTACCTAGTTTACCTAGCTCTCAAGCCAACCTTTTATCAATAAACTACCAATGATGACCTAAGGCTCAATTGCATTGCGATAAACCGCAGAGGAATGATTTCTTCTCAGTATATGAACCAATACTGAAAAACTTTTCTATTTTTCAAAATAAAACTTTTTTCGAATTTCAATCTCGAAAGTAAGTAAATTCGATAGTTATATTTCTTAAGTTCACCAAGTAGTTAAAGTTGAAGGTAATCAGTAATCTAAGAAAGAAATCTATTTAAATAAGGTACTAACAGATGGTTTAATTAAACAGATGGTTTAATTAAACAGATGGTTTAATAAAACAGATGGTTTAATTTAACAGATGGTTTAATTAACTTTTCTAATTCAGCTGTTGACACTGGTTCAAGTTAATCTTCATTCTAAAATGCCCAACTCTGCCAAGTATTTGTATAGGATTGGTTTTCTCTCGATAAATTACCTGAAAATCTTGACGAAGATTGTCCTGTCCCAAATCAGGGTTGGAGATACTCTTGACAACCTAAATAAAAAGAATAGGGAAGTGTTGTCTGAAGAAAAATCAACAAAATTGAAAGTATATACCTGGAGTTTCCTCAAGTTATGGAGTTTTCTCTAGTTGAAGTATTTACCTGGGGTTTTCTCTAGTTAAAGTATATGCCTGGAGTTTCCTTTAGTTAAAGTATATACCTGGAGTTTCCTCTAGTTAAAGTATATACCTGGAGTTTCCTCAAGTTATGGAGTTTTCTCAAGTTGAAGTACTTACCTGGAGTTTTCTCTAGTTAAACTAAATATCTGGAGTTTTCTCTTGTTAAAGTTTATACTTGGGAGTTTTCTCTATTAAAACTTTATACTTGGAGTTTCCTCTATTTAAAGTATATACCTGGAGTTTTTTCTAGTTTAAGTATATACCTGGAGTTTTCTCTAGTTTAAGTATATACCTGGAGTAAGTAGATACCAGGAGTTTTCTCTAGTCAAAGTATATACCTGGAGTTTTCTCTTGTTAATAAGTATATAACTGGAGTTTCCTCTAGTCTAAGTATATACCTGGAGTTTTATCTAGTTTAAGTATATACTTGGAGTTTTCTCTAGTTTAAGTATATACTTGGAGTTTTCTCTAGTTAAAGTAAATACCTGGAGTGCTGTACTAGCTCTCTCCTGAACCTCAAGGTTTGGACTTGAAACTAAATCTTCCAGTTTCACCAAGATCTGAAAAGATTAGAATTAATCATTTGGAGACAAACTCGTCTAATTAGTAAAAGAACTGTTCTTGATCAGGAACCAGATTTGACAGGGGAAGTACCTGAACTTTGTAGATTAAATTGAACCACTTATCTTCAGCTTGAACCGGCGATAAAAGGTTCAACTACTTCTCGATATTCACTAAATTTAGTCCCAGAGACAGAGTATTCAAAAATAGATCCTGACCGAAGTTTACTTGGTTGGGACAAGAGACAATGGTCATTGGTCATGGATCCATAAAGTCGGCTCAAAATAAAAGAATACTGAAATAATATGAGCCGGATCCGAACCAGCTTTATCAAAAGGTTCTGGATCAAATTTAAACTGATTATATAAACGTTTAGCAATTCTTTGAACCACTTTAATGTATAATATCTAATATTTTATTTATTTATAATATACATCTCGAAAAATGTATAGGCACAGATTTCAGAAATTCTTTAAATCCCATACTCAATGTTTATTGTATATAGTTAAAAAATTGCTAATATTGTAAATCGTTGGTAAAAAAATTTACCATAGAATCTATTTCAGTATCAGTTTCTTCCAGTCTAGTATACAGCTTCAGTATGTTGTGAACATAGGTGGCCTGAAAGAAATACAGCTTTAGGAGTAAAAATGAGACTCTAATGAGTGATGACCAGTTAAATTTTTGGTTTTATTTAGTCTAACATAGACTATAGAGGTTAAACTTAAACGAGAATAGAAGACAGCGTCAAGGGATAGAGGAATTAGAGGACTACCTTATATAAAGATATAGATTAGAGGACTACCTGTATATAAAGATATAGAGTATGGGACTACGTGTATATGAGGGGATAGATTAGAAAACTACCTTATATAAAGATATAGATTAGAGGACTACCTGTATATAAAGATATAGAGTATGAGACTACGTGAATATGAGGGGATAGATTAGAAAACTACCTTATATAAAGGTATAGATTAGAGGACTACCTGTATATGTGGTGCTAGATTAAAGGACTACATGTATATGAGGGACTAGATTAAACGACTACCTGTACATAAGGGGCTAGTAAAAGGACACCTGCATATATGAGGGACTAGTAAAAGGACTAACTGTATATTAGGGGCTAGTAAAAGGACTACCTGTATATGAGGGACTAGTAAAAGGACTACCTGTATATGAAAGACTAGTAAAAGGACTAACTGTATATTAGGGGCTAGTAAAAGGACTACCTGTATATGAGGGACTAGTGAAAGGACTACCTGTATATGAGGGACTGGTAAAAAGACACCAGTATATGAAAGGCTAATAAAAGGACTACCAGTATATGAGGGACTAGATTAAAGGACTACCTGTATATGAGGGACTAAATTAAAAGACTAACTGTTTATGAGGAGCTAGATTAAAGGACTACCTGTATATGAGGAGCTAGATTAAAGGACTACCTGTATATGAGGAGCTAGATTAAAGTGCTACCTGTATATTAGGGACTAGATTAAAGGACTACATGTGTATGAGGGACTAGATTAAAGGACTACCTGTATATGAGGGGCTAGATTAAAGGACTACCTGTATATGAGGGGCTAGATTAAAGGACTACCTGTATATGAGGGGCTAGATTAAAGGACTACCTGTATATGAGGGGCTAGATGAGGATCTAGACCTTGAATCATAGATATCAGAGCTTGTCTAGGATTGGATAGAAGAGTAGAAAACTCTCCAACTAACCAACAAGCTGCATACAGAACCTCAGCTGCTGATGTATGTCGCCCAGATCTAGCAATTTAAATATATATTCAAATTATAACAGCTATTTTTTTTTTTTTTTCTTTAACATATATAATTCTCATCTTGCAAAAATAGTAATTTCACTCAGCCTTGAATTTTTTTACCAAGCTAAGCCATTTCAATGCTTTTACCAAACTCCCCAATCAAAATTTGAACCAAATCAGTTTAGAGGTTCGTGAGCTATGATCGGACATATATACAAACAAACAAACAGAGATTTATACTTTAGATATAGATACTAGCTTGGGAACCCAGCTTTGCTTGGGTCTTTCCTCTAAAATAAAGCAGCCTACTCAATTTAGAACTTCCAAACCGGCCTAAGTCTTTAAGAACATTCCCGTGGTTCTACCGAGTTCCCCAATCAGAATTTGATTCAAATCGGTCAAGGGGTTCAATCATACCTGAGAAGAACTGATGAGTTCTCAATGAGAAGAGACATCTGCTCTACTGCGAAAGGTCGGATTGATTCAACCCTGGAATAGATATATATTATATATAGATAGAAACCAGGAGTTTTGAAAAAATAGACGAATTTTTAACTTCGTTTACAAGTAAAAATCCAAACGATTGATTGATAAATTTATTAATGATTGATTTATTGCTTGCTTACTTGATTGATTGATTGATTGATTGATTGATTGATGACTTTATGGATTGATAAAATTATTAATCCTTGATTAATTGCTTGCTTGCTTGATTGATTGGGTTGATTGATTGATTGATTGATTGATTGATTGATTGATTGATGGATTGATTGATGGATGGATGGATTGATTGATGGATTGATGGATTGATTGTTTACCTGATAGAAACATCCATCATCTGATGTGCTAGTTTACCACCGTGGGTTCCTCCCTCCATCTGGCTCAGCTCCACTAGTACACTCACATACCTAGATATAGACAAATATTAAGAACAAGCATTTTACAGAAATATATTCCCCTCCCTCTTCTTCATACAAAATAATAAATAAAGGAATCAAGTGTGCAAATCTTTCTTAACCTTTATCATTTTTGGAGCTTGGAAAAAAATGTCCCCCCCCCCTCCCCCGTATTAGACGTTCATATAAAAGTGAAACACATTGCAATGCTTCATGGCAATTGGCAATGCATTGGTTAAAAATATCTGAATTGTTTGTTTTGAAAATTTAGCAATGCGCCAGATTTAAATATTCTCATAAAAAGAACATTTGTTCTACTAAAACGTACCATTCGAAGTTTGAAATATACTGGTAGTCGTTCTGATTACAGATCTCCAGGATTTTAGTTAACAGCTCATCCCTAGAATTGTTTATTGATTTGTTAATATGTTAATAACCTTAAACTACAGAGAGACATATAAAACTGCGGAGTAGGAAGACGACATTAAAACAATCTTACACGAACAAGTTGTTCAAAGCAAAAAGTTTTTAAAAAGCTTGAAAATTATCTTCTAAGTGAAGTAGCTCTGTGTATTACATTGCGCATTGCACAATAACTGTATTTAATTTTTAATGGACTATTCAAAATCATAATTTGAGTCTATGGAACATTTAGATTCCTGTTCCAACAGCTTTATGGGTCTCCCAGTAAAACACAAAACATGAATACTATTTTTTCTTGAAAATTGTTTTACTATTATCTCAAAATGTTCATATAGCATGTCATTGTTACTAAATATGAACTGTTCAAAATTGTCCAATTGAGATTTTTTTTTATCATAATATCATTGTTGAAAGCATTGAATACTCACTTAAAAGAAATCGCCAATTCCTAAAAACTTGCCAAACTATCTTGAATAAGATTGAAATTTCAAGGTATTTCTTCGTGAGTTTACCTGTAAGTTGTTCCCTCCGCCTTGGACATGTGAGACATCAACTTTTTCACAATCTCCATCAAGTTCTTCTTCGATACCATTCCTGAACAGAACATGTAGGAAGACCAGGGGGATTAGATTTTTTTTTTTTTTTAGTATTTTCAACTTTTTTCAGTTTAAATATACATTTTAGATGTTTAAATATATATTTATATATATGAGTGAAGAGCTTTATTATACAGATTGACTTGGCAACAAAATAAGAACCCTGTGCTCGAAATTTCAATATTCCCAACAGAATTTAAATGGCATAAAAAAATTTAATAAATGTGCGTGTCTTCATTCAAGGGAAATATCAGTCTATCAAGGCTAAGAAAAACATGATCGATCTAGTTCTTAAACTCTTCATTACTAACCTGACAGAAGGTCTAGTGCTCTTAGTCTGATTGAGTCATCTGCATCATCAAGGCATGTCATTACTAGATCCTAGAATATATAATCATTGGTCCAGACATGCCATTACTAGATCCTAGAATATATAATCATTGGTCCAGACATGTCCTTACTAGATCCTAGAATATATAATCATTTATCCAGACATGTCCTTACTAGATCCTAGAATATACAATCATTTATCCAGACATGTCCTTACTAGACCCAAGAATATATAGTCATTGATCCAGACATATCATTACTAAATCCTAGAATATAAAATCATTGGTCCAGACATATCATTACTAAATCCTAGAATATATAGTCATTGGTCCAGACATGTCCTTACTAGATCCTAGAATATAAAATCATTGGTCCAGACATGTCCTTACTAGATCCTAGAATATATAATCATTTCTCCAGACATGTCATTACTAGATCCTAGAATATATAGTCATTGATCCAGACATGTCCTTACTAGATCCTAGAATAAACAATTATTTATCCAGACATATCATTACTAGATCCTAGAATATATAGTCATTGGTCAAAATATGAACAATTGGTTACCTTATGAGATGAAACAGATTTCGGGCTAGTTTTTAATATCTTAGACATTGCTAGTAGACCTAGATACTTGAGGTTCTGATCACTATCCTCTATCAGTATCCTTGTTAATAAACAGAAATATATATTGCTATTGAAATAAACAGAAATATATATTGCTATTGAAATAAACAGGAATATATATTGCTATTGAAATAAACAGAAATTTATATTGCTATTGAAATAAACAGAAATATTTATTGCTATTGAAATAAACAGGAATATATATTGCTATTGAAATAAACAGGAATATATAATATATATTGCTATTGAAATAAACAGAAATATATATTGCTATTGAAATAAACAGGAATATATATTGCTATTGAAATCAGTTGCTCAATATTTAAAAAATTAAATGATTTTATAATCTGAATCTATTTTATTAATATAATTAATTGCATGCAAGTTTAATTCAAGAAAATTAAAAACAATTTTGCATCTTGTTCATTGCTCTTAGACGAGTGTATCATAAACTTTGCAGACAATTTTCGGATTGATTTCCAATTGACCTCAAACTTTGTAAATGCATCAAAAAATATCAGACCTTAGTTTCTGTACGCAGAGCTGAATTGACGCGGCATGGTTTGGCATTCCTGAAAAATTAATTTATAATCTTTATTTCTGAATTTATTTTCTTTGATCCAGGTTAAAAATTTTGTAGTTGTGTTATAAAACCTATTATTTAGCAGTTCTGGACAAAAATATTACTTTCGGGATAAAGTTTTCAAAAAGTAACAAACATTTTTTTTATGCTGATATAAGCCTCAAAAGGAAAACAATGAGTAACGAAAAGTGCACCAAAAAATGTCTTACATAATGGTTCTGTTTTTAAATTTTCTCCCACAGGGCCATAGAAAAAATGAGTTGACATTTTAAACCATCGTATACTGTATAGTATACCAAGAAAATAGGTTTCTAAGAATTACCCTGGCCTCTCCAGTGTGGGATGAGGGGTGGGGGGGTGATTTTGATGACATTGGAAAATAAGAAAAAAATTGGAAATTGGAAATTGTTTTGACACTTTTTATTGATTTTCCACTAAAAAATCGTTAATTTCCCTCTATTCAGAAAATAAAACTAACATCTGGGGGAAAATATCATTTCTAATGAAGGAAGGGAGGATAATCATTTTAAGAACATTTTTACCCCAACAGTGTACAGTGTACAGTGTACAGTGTACAGTGTACATTGTACGGTGTACATTGTACGGTGTACAGTGTACGGTGTACAGTGTGCAGTGTATAGTGTTCACCTGTAGATATAGAGATGAGGACCGCTATGACGGTGTTGATGCACTCGTAGAGCAAGGACATGGCTGAGGTTGAATGGATCAGGTTCGTCAAGGGTTCAATCAGCTTCTTACCCAACCTAAAAAATTGAGATGTAAATCTGATTTTTGTCAAACAGAGATTACAACGTACAACTTTTGCTAAAAGAATATTTTTAAAAAAAAGAAGAGGATGCAAAAAATGAAACTTTTATACATTTAAAGAACTGTTAACAAATATTTAAATATTTATTGAATAGCATAATTCATGATTGTAACATGAAAGGTTTGTCTGGACAAGATTTATTGAGGTAGCTTTGTTGTGTTCTTTGAAATTTGATCCCTTTTAAATTGCGGTTTTTCTATAAGTGACTCGCGGAGTTCTGCAGCAGAAACTATGGATGAAATTGTCCGAATTTAAAAGGTTTAAACTGAACCGTAGTGAATAGTACATGCCTCTTTTTCTTTCTTTTTTAATGGTGGATCACTACACAAGGACGTTACCTTGGTTCTAGAGGAGTGAGAGCACCAAATAGTTTAATAATCTTGATGAGCATCCAGTTGTTGGTGGACGAGGTCATCAGCTTGAAGAAGGTCGGAGCCAAGGATAAATAGTTCTTAGGGTTCTTCCTAGCCAGCTCACAGATTACATTCACAGCAGCAGACTACAATATGTAAGGGATATTAAAGGGATATTTTATTATTCTCAGCAGCAGACTACAATATGTAAGGGATATTAAAGGGATATTTTATTATTCTCAGCAGCAGACTACAATATGTAAGGGATATTAGAGGGATATTTTATTATTCTCAGCAGCAGTAAAGTATAAAAGGCTAGGCTTTCAGGACACTTCACCCAACTTAATATTTTAATTGTTGATCTGTTATCGTTTTTATTCTCGCGGATTTTGAAAATATAGATATTTTAAAGGCAAATTTTTAAATCTAACCATCCATAAACCTTCTCTGTGGTCATTGAGGTCCAACACATTTTTTTGGCCCCATCAGTTTAGCTGTTTTGACCTTTATTGGTTACAAAATAACAAACCCAAACAAACAGACAAGCAAAGTATATAAAATTGATTAAAGATGTCAGTTAATGATATTTTCAGGATATATTTTTGTTAAAAAATCATTCCCCTTTCAAAAATCATTTAGCCCTCGTATTTATCGGACCTGTTGTTATCCAATTTTTCACTTTCTCCCGAAAGCCTTAAATATAAATGTTTACCCCTGAATATTTATTTCAACTCTCTGCTAAATAGTATAAATCTAAATCCGTCTTCCTAACTTTTCACTGAAGAATGTGACATAGTTTTGGTTCTATATTATTCTACATTTATAAACTTGGATATTAGAGCCATATGCCAGATGCATTAACATTTATTGAGGCTTAAGCACTTAGCTTGGTCTTATATTCAGATTTGATTCGGAGGATTGTGAGGAGGGGTGGTTATCTGTGAGCATTCATGTGATTGGGAAATCATAATAGAAAGATATTATTATGTGATAGCTTAATGCTAAAGCCCCCAAAAATTTTTTTAGATCTGATTACAAAAATTAGAACCTGTACACCTGGGTCTGGGTCCTCCAGTTTCTCCTTTAACCTCGGAAAGGCCGGCCTCAATGCCTCTGGATATCTTAGAAACACTTTGTACAACAGCAGTACACCTTTCTTCCTGTACATAATAAATAACGTCGTCTTCACTTATCTAAATGAAAGTAGAACAGGAAGAGTCGCCTTGGATTATATTTTACACACCGTGAAAGGACAGCTAAAAAACTAGTCATGGGTGTATATTTTCTGAAAAATCGCCCCCCCCCCCAACCAAATAATTGAAATAATTTTGTTCTCCATGTAGATAAGTATTTTTACGCAGAGAGGCAATTTTTTTAGGGTTTAATTATCTAGATAGGGAAAAATAAATTATTTATAGGTAAAAATGAATAATTTTCTGGGTTAATGGTATAAAAATGGATGAAAAAAACTCGTAAACTTGTAAACAAGGCCCGGTTTTTCTAGGCAGAGAAGGACGGTCACTGTTTACAAATAAATGCTTGTTTACAAACTAACAAAAAACAAGTTCTACAGCTGTCCTAATAATACAGTAGAATAAAAACAACCCCAATTCTTTGCTGTCCTTACTCTTAAACTAAAATATTCAAATGTATAAACTACAAAATAAATTATCTAGGGAATACTATTCAACTATAGTTATGAACTAACCTAAGATATGGTTTAGTAGAGGTGAGAAGAGACATAATATCATTTGCGAGATCCCTAGCCAGGTCAGGGGATAGGAAGCAGGAGAGAGAGGACAAGGTTAGTCCAGCCTCGTATTGTGAGGTCGAGCTCAGATCCTTCCTGATCATATTCGTTGCCAACATCAACACCTCGGTATCCTAGATTAATAAGTTGTAATCAGTCCAGATTTCAATCCTAAATATAGAGCCAGATTTAGAACATTCATGCAGATAACAGCGAGATGTAGAGAACATGGCAAAAGAGAAAAAAGCTGCTGTAAAGAGATCAGAAGATGTCAAATTAAAAATCAGAAAACTATTAATATAACCAGACAAAGGAAAAGAAAAACAAATATTTAATCTATCAGTTACAATCTGAAAGAATCCAAAATATAGAATAAATTACTATTAAAAGAAAAGGAAAGTATAAAACGGAAATTAAGAAAGAAAATTTTTTCAAACTAAATTTAAGAAGGATGAGTCCAGCGAGAAAAATAGAACAAAGGAAACAGAATCGAACAGAACAAAGCAAAAATCATGATTTCAAAAGAACACAAAAGAGAACATGCGATATCTTTTTTCTTTATTTTTATTCGATCAAAATGAAAGTATTTTAATACCTCACTACGATCGGTGTGAAAATACTTTCATTTTATACCTTCTAATAGTAAAAATCCCATCAAAAACATTTTACCACGCATGATACCCCATTACAATGACAAATATAATTTTATTCAATTTTACTCGACTCATTTAATAGCAGGCCAATAGAGTTACTTTATCACCCTGTTGTAGAGTGATAAACCAACTTTATCACCCTTCAACAAGAAATATTAGGTATGAAATTTGAAATTTAAATAGCTGGGTAATATAGTTACTTTTCGCCCTGTTGTAGGGCGATAAAGTCCACACTACAACGGGAAATATAAGGTGTGATGAATTCCCTCAATGTTGAATAAAAAAACTAATGGATAAACTGGATAAACCTGATGAAAGGATTGACTTGCAGCCAAGTATCCTATTCTCTTTTCTGTAAACTTAGTACTTGACATCACCTACAATATAAAATCACGTAGAGCGGGGGGGGGGAAGGTCAATTTGCCCCAATTTGAACGATTTTTTCGGTTTTATGCATATTAGTCAATCGTTGTATTAGAATTGTAATGTAAAAATAATTTTATATAGAAATTGAACGTTGAATAATTATTAAGAAAATCAATGTATTTTTAAGACATTTTTGTTAACATTTGAATTTCAACGAGATTGTTATACAAAAACTTATCTTATTTTACTTTAAAACATTCCCCCCCCCCCCTTTTATAAAATTATTTTGCCCAGAAGTATTGTTAGTTTTTTTCTACTGACTTGGGGAAAATAAATAATTTTTTGAGTTAAAAATAAAATAAATAATGAAAGAACTTGTCTTTTGATGTCACATTTTTTATCCCCCCCCCCCCACATCATCAAAAATCATTTCCCCCCCCCCTCTGTGGAGGGAGGTAATTCTGAAAACATATACCCCTGTTTACCTCTATTATGTTAAATCCTGCCCAGGATATATCATACCCCAACATCTGTAGGTAGGTCAGCTTAGCTACAGCATTCGCTTTCACAGAGGGGTTATACTAAACATATCTACAGTACACTTTCACGGAGGGGTTATAATAACCATATTTACAGTGCCCTTTCACAAATGGGTTATACTGAACATATCTACAGTACACTTTCACGGAGGAGTTATAATAAACATATATAAATTAAACTTTCGCTGGGGTTATACTAAACACATTAACCAGAACACTTTCACGGGGGTTACACTAAACATATTTACAGTACATTTTCACGGAGGGGTTATGCTAAACCTGTTTACATTACACTTTATAGTAGGAGTTATTCTAAACATATTTAAAGTACACTTTACTAAAAATATTTACAGTACACTTTCACGAGGAATATACTAAACATATTTACAGTATACTTTCACGGAGGGGTTATACTAAACCTGTTTACAGTACATTTTCATTTAGTAGTTATACTAAACATATTGAAAGTACACTTTACTAAACATATTTACAGTACACTTTCACGAGGGTTATACTAAACCTGTTTACAGTACACTTTCATGTAGTAGTTATACTAATATTGAAAGTACAATTTACTTAACATATTTACAGTACACTTTCACGAGGGTTATACTAAACCTGTTTACAGTACACTTTCATGTAGTAGTTATACTAATATTGAAAGTACAATTTACTAAACATATTAACAGTACACTTTCACGAGGGTTATACTAAACCTGTTTACAGTACATTTTCACGACTCACGAGGGCTATACTAAACATATTTACAGTATACTTTACTAAACATATTTACGACTCATGAGGGCTATACTGAACCTATTTACAGTACAATTTCACGGAGGGATTTTACTTACCATATTTACAGTACATGAGGGGATATTCTAAAAATATTTACAGTACACTTTAGTGAAGGGGTTATAATCAACATATTTACAAAATACCAAAACAAAGGGCAACATTTTGCCCCATTAAAAAAGGAAATATGATAATAAACATGGAAAGATACTGGTTTTGTTTTTAATGAAGGCAAACTAACATTGTTTACAATTTTCATCATACTTTATTAATTTTCATCGGATTAAATGAAAAAGGGTTTAACATATTTTTAATAGAGAGGGAGGGGGGCATAATTTAAGAAATACATACCCCTGAGAATGACTGACCTGTCTTAGCTCTAGCTTTATCTCCTCCAGACATTGAGCAATATATTTTCCTTCACTCTCACGGTTGTTCCTTACAATTATTCAAATCTATATTTGGTTTCCAACATGTATATATATATGAATTTACAAAAAGCTGAAATGCCTTGCGTTGCCCGTGGAATAAAGCTATTTCAAAAAGACGAAACAAAGACCATAAAACCAAAAAACCATTAAAAGTACATTATGAATGATAAGCTTAAGTATCGAATTTTGATTTCAGAACTTTCAGCCTTTTTTGACGTCTAACGGTTAAAGGCTTTAGTAAACGAGAAAATACGAAATTCCAAGGATTTGTAATAAATTCTTAATTTCCCAATCAACTAATATCACAATTAATAAAAGAAAATATTAAATCCCAGAAAGCATATTTATTAAACTGACACTTGAATTATACAGTGAGACCCATATATCTGTTGAATACGAAACGACTGTTAAAACTTAAGTTAAGATTTCAGAGAGATGGTTGATTGAATTTAGTCTTTCTTTCTAGAGTTCCGGCACCTATACGAAATGGGTTTATTTTAAATATTAGAAATAAGCTTGGAAAAAATAGAAAGGACTGTGGGCAGCTGAATAACGAACTTCTACCTGATTCCCCTGACCAGATCTGTCAGGTTCTTGTCGAACATTCTCTCCAGGTTTCCCTTCACCTTCTGTAGCGCCATCTTCTACTGAAATATACACAAAATATATAATCTTGGAATTACTATATTTAACGAATATTATTTCCTAAAAAATATAATTTGAAGAAATTAGATATTCATGAAATATACACAAATGTATAATTTTGGAAATCCTTTATTAATGAATATTATTTTTTTAAATTGCTATTCCAAGGAATTAGATATTCATGAAATATACACAAATATATACTTTTGAAAATCCTTTATTAATGAATAATATTTTTTAATAATTGTTATTCCAAGAAATTAGATATTCATGAAATAATACAGCAGACACAACATTTAAGGCAGAAAACTTAAATGAAACTTGGGCGCAATTCGTCCTGATTATAAAGTTTCATATCATAGTTACAGTATGGGTAACCCTGTATATCCCTTGGAATATTTAAATTTATAGCCGTGCTCAAAACAATACGCCGAGTTGGTATAACAAATCATATTAAATAAAAATAATAACTAATCTAAATCACAAATGGTAAGAAAACAATAGTTTTCCTACTCATCAAATTACATTTGCAAGTAGAAATCATGCAGATTCTACAAATAAAATCATTGAATATACTCTAAATATTTCAAATATCTGAAAAATCTGTTCCTGCTGTTAGTAGAAATCGGTGTCTGAGAATTGAAGTGTACTGTGACGAAAACACTTGTTTCATTTCCTCATTTTGGGCGGTAATATTTTTGTAGAGTTTATTTTTTAGAAAATAATGCTGAGATAGAAGACCACTTTATGTTTAGATGAAAATTAGAAAATTATCAAATATTGAAACGACACATCAACCAATAATAGAACAGACATGTTTTCTTTATTTTCGATTTTTAATTGATATTTAAAAACTTTAGTCTACAATAAGCCCCCCAATAGAAACCAGCTGATATTTCCTCCCCCTTTTTAATTAATAATAATTTTTTTTCTCAAATATTTCCTAATTGTGAAATTTTATTAAAACGCAAACTTTATTTAAAAAATTAAAAATATATAATTATACACCCCCACCCTCTGTCGGAACTCGGAAGACATTAGTGTACACTTTGTCTCCGCCATATTCTTTCTACCTGCATCCGTCTTCCTTCCTCACAGCTGACCGGAGCTTGACTATTCCTCTTGCTTAAGTATGTCTTTCTGGAGAGCCGCTGGTCTTAAGTAAGTTTATAAAAATCATTTTTAACGATAAATTTTTGGTTAGTATTACTGTTTAAGAGATAACTTTTTAATAGGACGAATTAATGGCGCCGGCCATGTGTATTTTTCGACAGTTGTGAACGTAAAGTTGCCCTTCAGGCTATTATTACTTAATTTTTTTCTAAGAAAGACAAGCTGGCTCCGTCCTAGAGAACGATATTTGGTATATTCCTAGAGAACGATTTTTGGACCCCCCCCAGTGGGGGGGGGTCCAAAAATCGTATATTAGGAGTTACCAGAAAGTGTCTCAACTTAACCTAACCCGCGGCCGCAGCGCTCGGCCCCGTAGCCCATCCTAGCCGCAGCGCTCGGCCCCCTAGCCTATCCTAGCCGCAGCGCTCGGCCCAGAAAGTGTCTTAACCTAACCTAACCCTAAATAAAAGAAAGTGGCATAGCTTAACCTAACCCGTGGCCGCAGCGCTCGGCCCAGAAAGTGTCTTAACCTAACCCTAAATATACACTAATTTTGTTGCAAATGAAGACTCGTCCTGGCCTTAGCGCTCGGTCCCCTAGCCTGTCCTAGCTGCAGCGCTCGGCCCAGAAATTGTCTTAACCTAACTTAACCCAAAATAAGGTGAGAGATAGCATATTATTTGACATTTAAGATGTCGCAGCGCACGGCCCCCTAGCTTATCCTAGCCGCAGCGCTCGGCCCCCTAGCTTATCCTAGCCGCAGCGCTCGGCCCAGAAAGTGTCTTAACTAACCTAACCCGTGGCCGCAGCGCTCGGCCCCCTAGCCTATCCTAGCCGCAGCGCTCGGCCCAGAAAGTGTCTTAACCTAACCCTAAATATACACTAATTTTGTTGCAAATGAAGACTCGTCCTGGCCTTAGCGCTCGGTCCCCTAGCCTGTCCTAGCTGCAGCGCTCGGCCCAGAAATTGTCTCAACCTGACACTTAAAATAATTTTTAAAAAAATAATATTTTTCTCAAAAATGAAAAATAAGTGGTCATGTATAAAATTGATAAGAGTTGGGGTGGAGGGGGGGGGGGGTGTCCAAAAATCGTTCTCTAGAACAGGCCTTTAAGTCCTGTGATTTACTGTAATGTGATTCTTAAATGCCTTAATTTTAATGTAATTTTGTTTAAGAAAAGTTACTTCTAGTTCTTACTTAGTGTGTCCAAAGAAAACCGTAGTGGTACAGCTTTAGCCTCAATTTAGTAGTTGCACCAAAATTTACTGTTTTGGACATGTTTGATGTCTACTAAAAAGTTATGATCTAATGATCTAAACTAAAGCCTCTTGGCAAATTAAAATCAAATTTAAAGTTTTTGATTTTCTCAGAAAAAATAACCATTTAAATTTGTAATACATTGATGCAAATATATAATCTCATTTGTTTGTTTACAATTCAAATTGTTATTTTCTCGACAATGCCGGCATCATTGACTAGGCACATAACTGCTCTGTCTCTCATATCAAGGATGCTTTTTCTTAGTACTGCAGGGTTCAAGGCAGCCATATAATGTTTTGCATTACCTGGTTCAAGTTACTTTTGGGAATTTAAGATTTCCACATAAATAGAAATAGCAAGGATTGAGGCTTTGTAGGCCAACCCCTTATTAGGCATCAGCAGAGCTCAAACTTGTTTTAAGTGTGCTACGAGAATAATTGAAGGCTCTAGTTTAGGTCTTTTTTGGGACACTATATATGAATACAATTTTGGATTCTTTATTATTTACTGAATTTGTAATTATGTTGTTGTTCAGCTACGTACAGTACAGCAATATTGCTGCACGTTGTGTACGCAATGCCCTGAAGAAGGACCTGGCCGCTGACGCAGAGAAGAGAGCACTGGTCAACATCAAGTTCCAGAAGTTCGAGGCCGGCAAACCTGTTGGTAAACTTTTACATGGATTTTTTATGAGCTCTAAGCAGGGGGGATGATAGTTCTCTACCTGTGTGCCCAGTTAGGTGTTCTGCACACTTACAACTATTTACTAATATTGATATACTATAGGTTAGGCCAGAATCAACTTATAAGAAACAAATATGCAGTACGCTCTCGGTATAGGTTATGGCCTGTAAAATTAGTAAAAGATTAGCGTACATCATCACTCTATACACTATAACCTCGTTGGTTCTAATGATTTATTTAATTGTTGAGGATCTGCGTCAAATTTCTCCAACTACAAGCAAAATTAAATTTTACTTTTTCGTTATTTTTTGTGTCGAAACTAGATATTTCAATCAGAAATATGGGGCCTAATTTAGTTGAATCACTTTTCTTGAACTTGAACTCATATTTCTCTACTGTTTTTTACATTTAATGGGATGGGATAAATAATAATCTATATAATAAAGCTTTTCGCTCATATACAGTTAAACCCAGAACTTCGGATTGATCAGAAGAATTTTTAAAATGTCGTCTTGAATTAAATTTTTTTTTTTGTAAAGTAAGATAAGTAAAGACGGCTTACTATTATCAGTAGGTTAAAATAATCTTTCGATGTCTCAAACTTATATTCTTCAAAAATCGAATTATTTAAAAAGTGGTTTTAAAAATTTATGGGAAACGCCAGGCATTTCAGCTAGTCCCTAATATTAAAATAAATATTGAATTTTTCTCTTTCGTTCAGAGGGTTGTATTAGTAATATAGTAATATAATGAAAGCTATTATCCTCTACGGGAATTATGGCTTATTTTTATTATTGTTATTTAAGAACTTGGGTTACAACTTACAACTAAAAATTACATTTTTACATATTATATATATATTATATATTATTATTATTATATATATATGTATATATTTACATATAACATTTACTTTCTTCGCATTTGCAATTAGAAAATGTTGAATTTCTATTTTTTACATTATTAAACTCGAATAAATTAAGAGTTACAATGCATTTTTATTATCGGGTTTAAATTATAAATGACATTTCTTATTTCTTATACCTTAAACCTTTTCTCTTCCGGTTTGCGCCCTTCATTATATTTTAGCTCAGAAACCCAGCTTTGCCGTGTAATCTAAACTTTTCCTGTAAAAGTCAACCCACTTCTATATATAAATTTGGCTTGTCTGTTTGTTTGTTTGTATCCAATAAACGTCAAAACGGCTGAACCAATCGGGCCCAAATTTTTTGTGGGACATCTAGGGACCCCAGGGAAGGTTTATGAATGATCAAAATTTTGGATATTTGTCTCCATCAAAATTCGATCTTCGTTAAATTTTTCAAAATTTTGAAAATCCACGAAATTTTTTTGTGAAAATCCGCGAATTATTTTTGTTTTGTTTTACGATGTACACAAAGAGAATATGTTCACAATATATTTAGAAGATGGGCGCGAAGCGCCCTCTAAGGCTAGTAACTTAAATTTCAAAACTAAACTAAAAATATTCCTTTGGCCCGAGCGAATTCCAAAACCAAAATTTGAGACATTGGTAAAGGGGTTCCTAAGTTATTATCGGACAAACAAACAAACAGAGATTACTTATAATTATATAGGCAAAGACTGTCCCAAGCTTTGTTATACATTTTTTTGAAAATAAAAATGTTGTATATTTTTTTCTTTTTTAGGAGCCAAGGCATAGAATCTCTCCCTCACTGATCCCTCCAGTAGTCACGAAATGTAACACAAAAATAAATATATCTATGTTCTTTTCCTCGAACAAAATATAAATCGAAAAATTTACGTTTTGTTGTTGTTTATTATTTCTATTTTCAGATGAATTTTTTCGTTACTCACCTGTTTCACGCTATTTGGAACCAGTGAAATAATTATTTAAATTCATAATTCTTTAAAATAGAATTAAAAATAAAACAAAAGATTAAAGAAAATTGTCAATTGACCTCTCATTCAACATAATGGTATTTCCGAATTGCAATGGTACCCTTTAAACCTTATCTGATCAAAAATTTGGAAAATATCATTTTCTTTAGCTACGCTATTTTTCTCTTTTAGAGGAATCACAATTGAAATCAATAGTTAAACCTGGATACTTGATTTATTCAGTATTCTTGATCAAGCAAAGATTTAAATGGCACCTTTGTGAAAATCGACCTATCACTCTGTATATGGACTACAGTCTCTTTAAGCAGATTCAAAATCCACTTTATGTTGGTTACAGCTGTAAATACTTAATTATCTTCAAAATCCACTTTGTGTTAGTTACAACTGTAAATACTTTGTAATTCTCTTCAAACTCCACTTTACGTTGGTTACAGCTGTAAATACTTTGTAATTCTCTTCGAAATATGCTTTATGTTGGTTACAGCTGTAAATACTTTGTAATTCTCTTCAAAATCCACTTTACGTTGGTTACAACAGTAAATACTTTGTAATTCTCTTCAAAATCGAGGATGCAATCTTGTATTATTTGAATTTAAACTCGGCCAGTATTACATGAAGTGAATGATAGTCATGTTTTAGCCACGGAAGCTCCGTATTGAGAGCCATGTGTTAGTTTTAATACAGAGGAACCCATTAAATCTGTAAACCTGTTTTTAATACACAGGAACCCATCAAACCTGTTAAAGGATGACGACTGTTAAGACTCGAGCAATGATTTTAAAGTCCATCTAGCACGAAACATTTGTGCGCATATAGTATTAGCACTGATCTTTGCCTAAAATGTTTATTTTCATACTATTAATCAATTTCCTCTATAAAAACTTGAAATGCACATAAGATGTTAAATGTCGTCTTCTTATTTCACAGTTTGATGGTTCCTACAGTGAAACCCTTAATAAAGAATACACCGTTAGAATTTATCAAATGTCGTCTTAACAATTTTTCAATGAGTTTTATACTATATTACGTAAATTTCAGTATTTGCGAAAATGAATAAATAACCATGAATATGAGGGAACCCGGAACAGTTTTAAAGAGTTCCATATAATCATTTAATTAAAAAACTAAATATCTGCAACATTCCATTATCAGAAAGTGATGAATACGACATTTGCTGAATTCTTTCGATGTATTCGTTATTAAGGGTTTCACTGTACCGTATGTTTTGCATATTTGTATTGTTAAGATGAAAAGTATGATGTATTTCTTTGTTTTGAAGTGGATTAAGATCAGTGCTGAAGTTTAATTGGAACAGACAAAATTATGTTGGTAAATTTTTAACAAGATAAATTGTTTCACAGACGATTTATCAAGATTTAAACTGAAATGATTGATTCTTCCCAAAAAAATTAACGTTCAAGTACAATGGTTGGCGTTTTTTATAAATACAATAAAGACGATTTTTCTGTTAAGGTTTTGATTTCTAAAAAAAATTTAATTAGTCAAATTACAAGTTAACAAGTAAACTAAACAAAGTCCGAATTTAATGAATTTGAGCCGTGTCTCAAATTCGCTAAAAACCTGCTTCAATTGAACGCCGGCTTAAATCTTGAAACATTTAATACAATTTTAAGTGGAACCAACCATATTTGAGCCGCGGCTCAAAATCTTTAAATTCGGCCTCAAGTTTCCATGCTGTTTGAAAGCTTGGTAGAAATCGAAAGTCTTCTTCACTGTATTGATATATACGACGACGACTGTATGACAACTTATTTCTGATTTTCTTTTTGGTTGAAATATTCGTGACAGACTAGGTAGGATTTCAGATTACCCACATCAAACCTTCCTAAAATACAGGATTCATAGAAGATATTACTGACTGATACATGGTGTCCCACGAAACATGAGTTATGACAGTTGGTAAATAATTTGGAATGTCTTCTTCCCAATACTGTAAAAGATATTAAAGACTTTGCATTTTTTTTCGTTCAATAAAATCTTTTACTTTTAATATATTTTACTTTTATATCAATTTTACTATAATATGACTACCATTAAATATTCTTATTTTTCTCTTTGGTATTAAACAACTTAAGTAATTATGGAAGAAGACATTTTAGATTATTCACCAACTGTCATGTTTCGTGGGACACCCTGTACGTAGGGTTAACCTTCACAAATGAAACTTTTAAGACGACGGCGAAATATTTGATATTATTTCGATACTTATATTTAATTAAATTTTCTTCTCAAAAACTCATCTACTATGGATAACCCTGTACTCAATTGGAAAAGAAATATTAAAAAAGCGCAATTCTAAGAATTCCGATATTTTTCTTCTTTTTGGGACCTCAAATTTTTTTTTGAATTGCATAAATTATCTTTTGATCCGGTTCCTTTAAGATAATAGCTGTAGACCTCAGTGTGGTTGATTAGATAGCTGATAAATGTTCCTGTCGCATCTGAAAATTCAAAAATACAGGGATAACCAAAAACGGTGGAATTATTGTGTTGTCTTCTAATAACACAATGTTAAAGATTTGTAACTTATTTTTCTAAAACTGTGGTATTAACATTCTCAGAGACATTCATTTCAGTTTTATCTTCTAAAATTTACAGAACTCGCAGTAGATTAACAAACTTATAGCCAGGTGTGCGTATTAAACAAAGATGAGGTTTAATCCTAATTATATACTGGTGATTACTGTAGTTTAATGGAGAATCATTGTCCTTATTTATCAATACTCTTTGGATCCTTGGATCTGGCAATCCCTTTAGAATCAAGAAGTTATCTTCTTTACTCTTGGATCTTCCTTTACCTTTAGATTCAATAGGTTGATCTTCTTTACTCTTGGATCTCCCTCTACCTTTAGATTCTAGAGGTTGATCTTCTTTACTTACTCTTGGATCTCCCTTTACCTTTGGATTCAAGAGGTAGATTTTCTTTACTCTTGGATCTCCCTTTACCTTTAAATTTAAGATGCTGATCTTCTTTTCTCTTGGATCTCCCTTTACCTTTGGATTCAAGAGGTAGATTTTCTTTACTCTTGAATCTCCCTTTACCTTTAAATTCAAGAGGTTGATCTTCTTTACTCTTGGATCTTCCTTTACCTTTAGATTCAATAGGTTGATTTTCTTTACTCTTGGATCTTCCTTTACCTTTAGATTCAATAGGTTGATCTTCTTTACTCTTGGATCTCCCTTTACCTTTAGATTCAAGAGGTTGATCTTCTTCACTCTTGGATCTTCCTTTACCTTTAGATTCAATAGGTTGATCTTCTTTACTCATTAAGAACGCATCCAGATGAACCAAGGCAGGGTTAGAGAGAATGTAGAAACAAGGACATTGGAACCTGGAAACTGTATCCTAAACATAAATTGGAACCTGGAAACTGTATCCTAAACATAAATTGGAACCTGGAAACTGTATCCTAAACATATATTGGATAGTGTTTGAACCTGGAAACTATATCTTAAACCTATATTGGAACCAGAAAACTACAGGGTGTCCCAATAAAAATGGGAATTCAGTGACGAATTGGATATCGTCTTTGTTATGAATTAGCATTGTAATAATTCATTGTAATACCTAATTTCAAAAGCCAAAATAGTATTATGTCTGCTAGAATTTATTTTATGAAAAGGGTAAATGCATAGAGAATAGAATATATAGAGAGGAATTTACTAGAAAAAAGTGTAAAACGGCCATTTTTTTGTACTGTTTCCATACTGCAGGTGTACTTCACATATTTGGCATGGGGTGAAGGGAGCAGGTGGGGGGGATAGATAAAACTCCTATGAATGCGCGAATTCTCTATATATTCTATTCTTTATGGGTAAATGGTTATAAAGATGTGTATATAATGTCTCCACAAGATAAACAGTGATGAGTTTACTCTGTTTGTATACTGCAATTTTCTTGTTTTACTATAAAGTAAAAAGTATGCAGCCAAAACATAAACAAACAAAATGTGAACATAGCAGACGAAACTCTTACAGATTACAGCTTTCTCAGTAGGTATCAATATACTAAATTAAAGAATTATTAAAAAGGACGATATCGAATTCGTCACTGAATTCCCATGTTTATTGGGTCCACCCTGTACATCCTAAACATATATTCGAGAGTGTTGGAACCTGGAAACTGTATCCTTAGCATATATTGGAGAGTGTTGGAATCTGGAAACTGTATCCTAAACATATATTGGAGAGTGTTGGAACCTGGAAACTGTATCCTAAACATATATTGGAGAGTGTTGGAACCTGGAAACTGTATCCTAAACATATATTGGAGAGTATTGCCTATTGGAAACTGGATACTGTATCCTAAACATATATTGGAGAGTGTTGGAACCTGGAAACTGTATCCTAAACATATATTGGAGAGTGTTGGAACCTGGAAACTGTATCCTAAACATATATTGGAGAGTATTGCCTATTGGAAACTGGATACTGTATCCTAAACATATATTGGAGAGTATTGGAACCTGGAAACTGTATCCTTAACATATATTGAAGAGTATTAGAACTCATGGAGACTGTTTCCTAAAATATATGTTGGAAAGCGTAAAAACCTGTAAGTGAAAATAAGGTTTACATCTCCTCTATTGCGGGTTACTCTGTAGTCTGTATTTTGTATTTAGTGTAAATCCCAAACATAAAAGCAGTTGAAGAGAAGGAAGATAAAGATAAAGGAAATGATGGTTTAGAATGTGTGTTGTGGACGTCACGCATAAATGGCAGTTAGTTTTAAAACATGCAACACAGAAAAATTATAAGCATCTAAAACTTTTTTGTTTTGCTTTGAATAATGTTAAAAACTTTCATGAACACTTTCAATAACTTTATTGAACAAACCTGAGGTTTCGGTTTCTCCAGTAATCTTAGAACTCTGTTATTATCTCCTAGCTCCAGTATACCATGCTTACTCACATTCTCTTCAGAACAATCAGTGTGTACTAGGTAGCAAACCTAGAATAGGAAAATAAGAGAACTTGAACCTGGTACAGGAGAAATAGAACCTAGAATTGGAAAACTTGAACCGGAATAGGAAGCCTTGAACCTAGAATAGTTGTAGAATTAGAGAACTGAAAAGATGTAAACTGGAGAATTGAACAGATTTAGAATTAGATAGTTTAACAGATGTAGAACTGGAGAACTGAACAGATGTAGAACTAGATAATTAAACAGATTTAGAACTAGAGAATTTTACAGTCTGAGAACGAACAGATGTAGAACTAGGTAATTGAACATATTTAGAACTAGAAAACTGAACAGATAGAGTACTAGAGAACTGAATATATGTAGAACTAGAAAATTGAATAGATGTAGAACTAGAGAATTGAACAGATTTAGAACTAGAGAATTTTACAGTCGTAGAACAAGAGAACTGAACAGATGTAAACTGGAGAATTGAACAGTTGTAGAACTAGAAAATTGAACATATTTGGAACTGGATAATTGTACAGATGTAGAATTAGATAGTTTAAAAGATTAACAGATTTAGAACAAGAAAACTGAACAGATGTAGAACAAGAAAACTGAACAGATGTAGAACTAGAGAATTGAACAGATTTAGAACTAGAGAATTGAAAAGTCGTAGAACTAGATAACTGAATATAAGTAGAACTGGAGAATTAAACAGATGTAGAGCTAGATTATTGAACATATTTAGAACTAGAGAACTGAATATATCAAAGACTAGAGAACTGAACAACTGTTACCTCCTGAACTGTCTGCTGGAGTCTGCTGAACTCCTGAACCAGACTACGTAGGTTAAAGGATTGATAGAATAGTGTGTCTCCTGCCACTACCAATATATCATTCTTTCTCTGAACACAATAGATAACAGAACATTCAGTGTTAGATTATACTGTTTTTTAATGATACTGTATACTGTACAGTAGACTGTCTATTTGCTACCGTACAGTAGTCTGAACATTTGCTACCGTACAGTAGTCTGAACATTTGCTACCGTACAGTAGTCTGAACATTTGCTACCGTACAGTAGTGTGAATATTTGCTACTGTAAAGTAGTCTGAATATTTGCTACTGTAAAGAAGTCTGAATATTTCCTACTGTAAAGAAGTCTGAATATTTCCTACTGTAAAGAAGTCTGAATATTTCCTACTGTAAAGTAGTCTGAATATTTCCTACTGTAAAGAAGTCCGAATATTTCCTACTGTAAAGAAGTCTGAATATTTCCTACTGTAAAGTAGTTTGAATATTTGCTACTGTACATCAGGCTGAATATTTGCTACTGTACATCAGGCTGAATATTTATTACTGTACAGCATTCTGAATATTTCTCACAGTACAGCAGACTGATTATTTGCTACTGTACAGCAGTCTGAATATTTCCCACTGTGCAGCTGGCTAAATATTTGCTACTGTACGTGTAGGTACTGTACAGCTAGCTAAATATATACTACTGTACCTAGAGGTACTGTAGAACTAGTAAAATATCTGCTACTGTACCTGTATGTACTGTAGAGCTAACTGATTATATGCTTCTGTACCTGTAGGTACTGTACAGATACCTGAATATCTTCTATTGTACCTGGAGGTGCTTTACAGCTAGCTGTATATATCTGCTACTGTACCTGTAGGTACTGTACAGCTAGCTGAATATCTGCTACGGCCCCAAGTCTAATACTGTTGCCATCGGTCAAATCATTCAAAATCGACACCTAGATAATACAGAATATTTACATATATACATATATATGTAACTATGTATTCTTAATAAGATTTTTTTAAGATTTGTAACTAAACTCTTAATTATTTTCTTCTCATATCAATTTTTCATTACAGAACAGTACATTAATCCCTAGCAATGATGGACGTATTCGGACAGCTCTGGAACTAGATTAACTATTAAGGAACACCCAATAAGTTAACAGAAAATTCTCAGGCTTGAGCATTCAAGCCTGCCCTAGACATCTGATCCATGTTTACAATCTTTGTTATTGTTTACCAAAAAAAGAATATCTTATGCTAGTTATACTGTACTGTACTGTATTGTAATGTACAGTACTTTCCTTATCCTTGTACTTTGGTTCGAGTTGATCCTTCCAAAGCTGTAGTTGAGCATAGAAAACTTGGTTTGTCACCACAACTATTCTAAACAGGGTTGGTATGTTACCACAACTATTCTAAACAGGGTTGGTATGTTACCACAACTATTCTAAACAGGGTTGGTATGTTACCACAACTATTCTATACAGGGGTGGTATGTTACCACAACTATTCTAAACAGGGTTGGTATGTTACCACAACTATTAGAAATAGGGTTGGTATTTTACCACAACTATTCTAAATAGGGTTGGTATGTTACCACAACAATTCTAAATATGGTTGGTATGTTACCACAATTATTCTAAATAGGGTTGGTATGTTACCACAACTATTCTAAATAAGGTTGATATGTTACCACAACTATTCTAAATAGGTTTGGTATGTTACCACAGCAATTCTAAATATGGTTGGTATGTTACCACAACTATTCTAAATAATTGGTTGGTATGTTACTACAATTATTCTAAATAGGGTTGGTTTGTTACCACAACCATTCTAAATAGGGTTGGTATGTTACCAAAACTATTCTAAATAGGGTTGGTATGTTACCACAACTATTCTAAACAGGGTTGCTATGTTACCACAACTATTCTGAACAGGGTTGGTATGTTACCACAACTATTCTAAATAAGGTTGTTACCACAACTAATCTAACTAAGGTTGCTTTATATTACCACACACAATTCTAAACTGTTTCCTGCGTTTTAAACTGGAGTTTGTCTGTACTCGAAACGGGTTTAGTTGATAGAGCAAGGAGAAATTCAGACGATTGTCGGCGATAAGCCTATCTTCTTTTGGGAGGGTTTTTATTGAAATTGTATCTTAAGAATACATGCAGAGGTACCAATAAAGAATGAGACCTGAAACTGAAAAATAGAAATAGAAATTAAAGTGTTAAGGTGCATGGAAGAATCTAGGGGTAACACAAACACTGGATAAATTCAATTAAATTCTCATCCTGAAAAATTACCACTGCATTAAATCAAAAAACAAGAATACCTATAATTCTGTTGCGACATTTTGTCATACGTATTCAGCTAAATTTCATAAATATTCATCGTATTTTTAAAAATATTCACCCGATTTCAGAAATGTTCAGCTGATTTCGGAAATATTCAGCTGATTTGAATATTCACCCGATTTCAGAAATATTCACCCGATTTCAGAAATATTCACCCTATTTCAGAAATAATCAGCTGATTCTATAAATATTCACCCGATTTCAGAAATATTCAGCTGATTTCATCTGCCATTTTTTCTTTTTAAACCAACAATTTAATCATTTGGATCCTACCTTTGGCAGGTTAGATCTAAGTGAGGGATCCAGTGAGATATTAAAGGTTTGGATCCAACCGGGAGAAGACATTTAGGGATTCCCAACAGAAATTTATACTCTTCAGAGGACTCCAGATCTCGTGACAATCTAGATATTTATCAAGATCACGTGACAATTAAAATATTTCTGAAGAGCATATGACAACATCAAGATTACATGACAACCTAAAAATTCTTTAAGGTCACATGACGACAACCAAAATATTTCTGAAAATCATGTGACAAGTTTAATTTTCCTCTTGGATATTATCTTTATCCTATTTTTTGTTTTAAGAACCAGTTAAAATTGAAAAATTATTTGTTTATTTTTATGCCCACCTTGTTCCATAACCAGCAGCTAGTATAATGGTATCCATCTTTAGTCTGAAATAATTCTTCTTCGTCACTTTTCTTTTTTTAAATTATTCCCTGAAGCAAAACAGTTATCCTTATCCCAAATTCTTGTTTACAAAGAGTTCAGCACTGGAACTGGAAATTCCGGTTCATTAGAAGTACCGTACTGACTTTAAAGAAGCTAATTGTACAGAGTACATACAGACCATAGACGGCTAAAACGGGACAGTACACCAAGTGAATCATCTCCAACTTCTTGTGAGATTATTGTGTCTGTGTACAATTTCTGGGAGTTTAGCCTGCGCAACATGATTTACAAGTTTGATGGCTTTCCTTAAACAGCAGAGCCCGAATCGTCCCAAATTAACGGGCGTATTTAAGACGTATACTACATTGTCAGTGGTGAACACATAATCTAATTTTACTATGATTTCTATTTGTTCTCGCTGAGAGGGGTCGTGTTTCACTGTACTTCGGAGGGCCACAGTCGGAGACGTCATATGTTTGCAAAAAGTACGGATGGGACGATTCAGGCTCCGTACACTTAATGTGTACAGAGATATGGTGCATGTATTGTTCCTTAACGTAACCCAAGAAATTTATATTATGATAAGGATGGGCATGTTCAAATCTCGTTAGTTTTTTAAACGTTTAAAAAATATACAGGGTGAGTCCTTTTTTGTGCAACTCTCCTACGTATGTGTATATAATTATTTCTATCGAAATCTAAAATTTTAAAAAGATTGAATCACAGAGTATTCGCAATTTTTAGTTCTGGTCTAATTTTTAAGGAAAAGTTATTTCAATTCTCTAGTTCCTTTCATCTTAGTATATTCTAAAGTAAATTTGTTTTTCTGAACTTTTGATTTTGAGAGAAAAAAGATTGGCGAATTGTTTTTTGGCCATTGGAGTACAAAAAAAATACAAATTTTTTGAAAAAACACCATTCATGGAGAGTTGCACAAAAAAGGTAAAATTTTGCACAATGCACCGCAAATCATACATTTCCGACTCATCCTGTAGTTTTATTTGTTCTCAAATTTTGTTCATAATTCCTCTATTTCGTTCGTTTTTTCACTGAACTAACGTTCAGAAAAATCTTTTGTTCAGTTAAAAACAATCGTTTTTTCCAATAAATTGTTTTAAGTAAAAAAATGTTTTCTCCAATCGTTAAATTTTTCTCTGAACGATCCAAGTTTGTCATTTTTTTAAATGTTTACTATATTTTTGTTCGTTCTCAAAAATCTCGTTCTTTCACAAAAACGATGTTTAGGGTTTTAGCCTACTAAACATCATTGTTTTGTGTTAAAAAGTGCTTCTAGTAAATACAATTTCCATAAAAGACCCCATCTTGGATGAAATATTTATCTCTAAAATGTCGTTTTAAGTTTTAACCATCAAAATTAGGCATAATATTCGAAAATGTGCTCGGTCCCATTTCTGAAGATATTAATTTCGTTTTCACCCACTCGTTTCTTCTACTTCAACTTCCATACATTGGGGGGAGGAGGGGTCGTCGTTAAAAAATTTTACTCTAAAATTTCGTTTCAGTCGTCAAAATGTACTCGAAATGTAGTCGGTCCCTTTTCAAAAGATTTTCAAAAAAAAATTGAAATCTTTTTTCGTCTTTTAGTTTTACACATCCTCACTTCAATCATTGAAAATGTTCAATTTATTCTATTCTATCGTATAAAACGTAAAAATATAATTATAATTTGAATTTTTTAAAATCTTTGAAAAGGAGACCGAGCACATTTTTGAATATTAGGCCTAGCTGCTTTTGAAGGTTAAAACAGCATTTTAGAGAACAATTTTTCATTGACGACCCCCCCCCCCCCTTTTGTGGGAATTGCACCTGCCAGGAATTTGAAAGATATTTAGTATAGGCTAAAATGAGTAAACACACTTTTCAGAGACACCCTGTATTATGTTTACATTTAACTATATAGATATACCATTAACTAGATAATAATCTTAATTAAGTCTGATTGGAGCCAAAATCCTATTGAACATACATTTAAATTACAGATAACTATATAATTACATTAAACAATGTTGTACATGTCATTTTATGTAACTATGTTTCAACGTTGTACACGGAGATATTACTACTAGTACATGCATGGGGCATCGTTAAGAGATCCGTTTCTAAAAATTCAAAGTTTTAGACTTTTAAAAGGCTGTACAAGGCTTTACAAGAATCTGAGTTGTACAAGAATCTGAGTTGTACAAGAATCTGAGTTGTACAAGAATCTGAGTTATACAAGAATCTGGGTTTAACAGGAATCTGAGTTGTACAAGAATCTGAGTTGTACAAGAATCTGAGTTGTACAAAGATCTGAGTTGTACAAGAATCTGAGTCATACAATAATCTGAGTTGTACAAGATTCTGAGTTGTACAATCTGAGTTGTACACGAAATTGAGTTGTACAAGAATCTGAGTTGTACACGAATCTGAGTTGTACAAGAATCTTAGTTGTACAAGAATCTGAGTTGTACAAGAATCTTAGTTGTACAAGAATCTGAGTTGTACAAGAATCTGAGTTGTACAAGAATCTGAGTTGTACAAGAATCTGAGTTGTACAAGAATCTGAGTTGTACAAGATTCTGAGTTGTAGTGTACAAAGATCTGAGTTGTACACGAATCTGAGTTGTACAAGAATTTGAGTTGTACAAGATTCTGAGTTGTACAATCTGAGTTGTACAAGAATCTGAGTTGTACAAGATTCTGAGTTGTACAATCTGAGTTGTACAAAAATCTTACCTGTACATCATTAATATTTCAAACTTGCTTTCATTACATTATGCAAAACTTTTACTCCGATTAAAGATTGTAACCGACCGATTTTTCAAAATGGACCTCAACACAATGCTCATCCGTTGGTATTAATCACGGAGGTACAATGGTCGGCGTTTATATCAATACAGACGACATTTCTTTTTAAGTTTTGATTTCTAACAAGTTTTTTTCATATTACAAGTTTACAAGTAAAGAAAAAGACTGACAGCTTTCTTTGGTTTCAATGACATTGTTTATGTGTATCCATTCATCTGCTGTTTAAAAGTTTGGTAGAAATCAAAATTAAAATCGAAAGTCGTCTTTATTGTATACGACGACGACTGAATTACAACATGGAAATTTAATAACAAAATTGGAATCGTCTTCACTATTTAATACCAAATAATAACAACGAAAAATGGCTGCTTGTATAGCAATTAACGGTAACAGCTGAACTAGTAAAATATATTCTAGCAAACGTAACTTTATTTTGACTAGTTAGTTACTAAAATGATAATTCTGAAAAAATGACGATCTAGAAATGAATTCCCATGTTTATTGATACAAGTCTGTAGATTGAAGCAAAAAATCACAAAACAATAATTTTTCTATAACTCAGTATTTAAAGATTTAATAAAAAATACTAGCAAATAAAAAAATAACATGATAAACTTTTAGAAAATAACTGTTATCACTAAGTTTTCTTCAGGACTGCCTCCTTAGTAAAGGAATAATAAAACAAATATGAAAAATTACCGCAAGCTGTTTCAAGGATTTACAGAAGCTTTAAAAATGTTTGGGAAATATCTAAAAAATATCTTTTTAAAAAAATCCACAACCTTTTTTTAATGAGTTATATTTTGTAAATTTTTACACCTCCTCTCACTTATTCCTCAAGCTTGAACAAACAGGTGTTTTTTCTAAACTGTTAATTATAAAGACAGTCTGATAAAATTGTGTTAAATGATTTGACAAAGCAAGAAACATGTTTAAAAGGGAATCAAAAAAGTAAGAAAAAAACTGAAGTCTCATTCATGAAGGTACTCCTGTATCTTACAACCAAAAACGTTATATACATACAATACACATGTCGAATACATATATCAAAACTTAGACTGCTTAACTTGGGTGTTTGGATTTAGTTCGATAAAACCTTATGTGAGTATTTATTTAGGATACTTTTACTTTCATGCACTACTGTTACATTAACTTATGTATTCCTGTGTTTTATGTACTCCATACTACTGTTGTTTTTTCCTCCTGTACTACTGTTGTATATTCTCCTATTGTATGTACTCATGTTGTATGTATGTACTCCTGTTGTATGTATGTACTCATGCTGTATGTACTCCTGTGGTATGTACTCTAAATATATAAAGTTGTTATCTCTGTTTGTAGCTGTCTGTTTGTTTGTCCGAACATAACTCAGGAACTTCTGAACCGATTTGCCTCAAAATTTGATTGGGGAACTCGGGAGACCCATTGTAATGTTGTTAACGTGGTTTAGAGATTCTAAGTTGAGTGGGTCTTCTTTAATAGCAAAAATATACTTTCCCGGTAAAATCGTTCAAGTGCGGGTAAACGGCGGGAGTAACTTTTGTTAACCTTTGCAGCATTGGGTTTCAAAGCTAGTTTATATAAATATAAAGTAGTAATCTCTGTATGCAAAGCTGAGTTCCCAAGCTAGTCAAACATATTTCTACACTTCTGTCCCATGTACTCCCACTCCCATGTACTAACGTTAAAGTTACCGAACAATATGTACTTTGTGATGACAAGTCTAAATATATTCTATAATATAAAAAGAAGTTTGATGATGATACGAACAATTAATCAATAGATGAGGTTTTTTGTAACTGTAAACAGTAATTATGAAATTGAATAATAATTGAATAATGAATGGTATAAATGAACAGAATCAAAAGGATTAATAGTATAAATGAATAGAATCAAATTAATGAAAAGTATAAATGAATAGAATTAAATGGATTCGAAAAATGTAAATAAATAGAAATAAATGGATGAATAATATAAATAAATAGAATTAAATGGATGAATAGTATAAATGAATTAAATGAAATGGATGAATAGTATAAATGAATAGAATTAAATAGATAAATAATAAAAATGAATAGAATGAAAAGAATGAATAGTATAAATGAATAGAAATAAAGGATGAATAGTATGAATAAATAGAATGAAAAGGATAAATAGTGTAAGTGAATAGAATGAAAAGGATGAATAGTGTAAATGAATAGAATGAAAAGAATGAATAGTGTAAATAAATAGAATGAAAAGGATGAATAATATAAATG